AAGCAGTACATCTTTGTGGAGTAATCTGATTATATCTTAAATGGGCCACAGCTGCTAAGTTTCGCTCCTTACAAAAAGCATAATGTCCCTTTCGCCTCGTAGCGAAGTAGTTTTATCCTTAAAGAAGCTAAAAAGCCAAGGTTGAAAGGCAAAAAAAAATTGTAAACGAAATAACATTTGTAAACCCCCGTATTTGGGAACTTACCATATGAGAAAATAAGTACATGGGTTCGTGTCACACAGAAATCCGCAGACACACTGATATTTAGGTGCGGTTTTCTCTTTGTTGAAACAGTTTAGGTATTTCTGCGGTCATAATTTCGGGTATGCAGGATTCATGTATTACGTGTATAATACATTATAATGTGGTATGGAGTACGCGGTAGCGTAGTTGTTGAGGCACTATGCTACAAGCAGGAATGTCCCGGATTCAAATCCCGGTGAGTCTCTTCCTTAAGAAAATTAAGAGTTTGGAGCATCAAGGTCATATTTAGTCCACGGCCCAACACTGCATTACAGCAACCACTTAAAAGAGTACGTGTCAAGACACGTGCAACCCCTTGACAAAGCGTTTTTCTTTTCCAGCTCATGACGTGCAAGCACAGTGCATGCAGTCCATAACAATAAGCACTTACAGTGCGATTCGTCCTGTACAATTATTTGGGGAACTTAACCCTTTAAAACCCAGTAGTTGTTACATGTACCACCTGCATTGACTTACTCTAACTCTGCAGTTTGCCAACAGATTGTACACGTATGTGTGTTTCGTATGGTTATTACAGTAAACAGAGACTATTTTCCTGAATAGCATTAACCAATTCTTTATTGGGGTCCGTCGTAACACAACAACATAACGGTTAAGGTTAAAATTACTTTAGATGTTTCGGCTTTTAAAGCCGTCATCAGGCAAACACATGATTACTATATTCACACAATACTGAACTGCAATTTCATTGTGATAGTAAAGCTGGATACTTGATAACTGTTACATAATAAAATACATGGCATAAAAATACAATGAATTATAAACTTATTATAAAACGAAAGTTATGGAGTAAATATGATTCAGAACACTTCATGTGATATTGCATATCATGGAGTCAGTTGTTGCAATCTTGTCATATTCCCGCGGACATAATGGTATATTTTAGACTTGTATACATATAGCGAACTGATTGGAGGCCCGTGGTATATATGTGGTATTATTTGACATTAAGTGTTTGGCCGGTGCCTCATCCTACATTGTATTTTTTCCGTTCTGTTGGGAATACAGATTGCAACTGTGTGTGAATATAGTAATCATGTGTTTATCTGATGATGTCTTTAAAAGCCGAAACATATAGCTAAGATAATTTTAACCTTGACCGTTGTGTTGTTGTGTTACGACGGGCTCCAATAAAGAATTGTATATAATAACACAATAAGATGCACGAAATGAAAATTATAAACAGCATTAATCAGTTTGTGTTAATAAAGGAGACGTAATAAATATCTTGTGAAGTACGAACTAAATTCTTATATATTATTTTGAAGAAATTCAGTCTTTAAAGAGTTAATGACCATCGTTTTCGTCGGTTTCTCGCATGAGTTGTATCACTGTTTAAACAAGCTGTACTTCAATCTTTGGTATTAGGAAACAGAAATTACGATAAAGGCTCATCGTGTTACTAACAAAGGTCATCCCTTCACTTCTTCATAAAATTATTTCCTATTATCACTTACCATTATTCATATAACTTACTAACCTACGTACTGACGAACAATGCTGATCTTGCAGTGCAGCCCGTACCATGTAGGAGGCTCGGCTCTCATCATTGGTGACGCGGCACACGCAATGGTTCCCTTCTATGGACAAGGCATGAACGCTGTAAGTGCATATTTTGACGTTTAACTGAGATTATACTACAATAAATCCACGGATCTGACTCCTACTTGGAAAACAAATAGGCGCTCAGCTACGTAATAAGATTCCCACCCTTCATAGAACAAGAAAACACGCGCAACCTTATAATGAGTAAAAAAAAAAAGTAAAGCTATCCCTGTAACAGGCCGTGAAGGCCCATAGGGTTGTGAGACGTTGAGGGTCCCACATTATCTATACAATCGGTTCAAAGATGGCGGTAAGTTTGTCAGCCGTACGCGCAGGCCGCGCTTTACTTCCCAGGAAAATTATTTAATTAATTCCTTGTACTCATTTCTGTTAGAGGTTGAGTCGACCCCAGGGCCATAGTGCGGCCGGAAAGATCAGATCAATTTAAAAAAAAATGCACCCTTATAATACCTAGTAAATTTAAGAACTTCCCATAATAGACTCAACGTTGAAAGGTATGTTTATTTACTTATTTCAATTTAATTTATGGCCCGACATATTTCCTCAGAGGTACCCGTTCAACAAATGTAATAGTAAAACTCCTTTATTGTTCTTTTCAATATTTCACATATATGCAATTAAATTACAAGTTAAAATTATCAACGCTATTCAAAAACTTAATGATCCAAAATTCATGTAGAAGTTTGTACAGATGACGGTATGTTGAAAATGTGAATTGAATTAGAAGGAGTTTACTTCAAAATTAACGGACCGAGACTTCATTTAAAACAAATAAAAATTGGAAATTTCATTTCTTTTAAAAAAATATAGAAAGTTGTCTAACTTTCGAAAGGGTTATATATTTTTTGGATCACAGTTAATACGAAGATCATTATCTGCAGATTATGCAATAATTAAGTTGTACATAATGATCTGCCCATTATGTATGTACATAAAGTTAACTCTATCGTGGCTGGAGATATGTTTCCATGTTCACACCAGCTTGCCCTTCTGTTCTGCCCTGAGCCAGATATATCAAGCCCACATCCTTACAGCCTACTTATGTAAGATCCACTTTAATTGTATTCCCTTATCAGTGCCTAGTCTAGATTTCCCAAATGGAATCATCCATTAAAATTTACTAACCAAATTTTTGTGTGGATTTCAACTGTAACACTTGAGCGCTACATGCTAGTATGTCCATCTCATCCCCCTTGATTTTATCGCCCCAATGATACTTATTATAAATTATTAAAATTCTCATTATAAAATTCTTCCAGCCTCTATTCACACCCTCTCTTTTAGGTCGAAATACTCTCAGCACCTTGTCCTCAGACAGCTTCAGCCTACGTTTTCCCGACACGAGAAATAGATTTTCACGCTGATACAATAAAATGTCGTATACTACAAATTACGCTCAAATTCCCCTCAGTGGCTATTACATTAAATGAGTGTAATCAACTGTAATCAGCAGCTGCATGTACCTCAATCCATCTTCTCATGACTTTTTTTTCCCTTGGCAACAGACCCAGTGGGCACGGTAGGACTCCTTGGGCGAGTGATCAGCTCGTCTCAAGGCCTCTACCTGTAGACAAACACAGAAAAACGCACACAAACATCCATGCCCTGAGTGGGATTCGAACCCACGATGCCGGCTTCCGAGCGAGCGAAGACAGTGCATGCCTTAGACCGCTCGGCTACCGTGACCGGCCTCTCATGACTTGTTACCACTGCCTATCTACTGTCTCAGACATTTTAAACATACTTCCTGCATTACACTACACCTCCCATATGTCTTTGCTTCTGTACCTGTCACCATCGCGTACTAGGAGACCAACAAATCTACCAGATTTCTTATCATTTTTCTCAAAAGCTCCAGGCATTCACGCAAATTTTACCTACATACAGGCCACGAAGGAACTTCATAACCTACTCCATTCGCAATCATAGTGTCAGTCAAGAGTTATATGACCTATGCTATTAAAAAGTGACATTATGTATATTAAATAATTTTAAATCTGTTTATCCTTTTCATATATTGTATATGAGGATACTAACCAGAATATATTCCCTGTGATTGGAATGAATCCAGTATGAGAGTATGCTTGGACTTGGAAGTGCAGCAGACGCAAAATGGGTCCTCCTTCAAAATAATATTTATATACCTGTACATCTCTTGATAATTATCAGAATTCGCACTCATTTTGCAAAGTGTAAGACATTTCTGAAGTCTGAAAATTTGCAAAAGCCCCATAAATAATCTTAGATAATGTTGCAGGGTTTTGAAGACTGCCGTTTGCTCGATCAGTTAATACTGAAATACGAAGACATGCCGGTCGCACTGAAGGAGTTTTCGGCGGTAAGGAACAGGGATGCTGAGGCCATCTGTGATCTCGCCATGTATAACTATTTGGAGGTAAGGCCACAAAGCACTCATAATTCTGACAGAACCTATGCATTTCATCTGTTGATGGATTTTCTTAAATATTTCAGGAAAATATATAGTGAAATCACTGAATGAAATCGAAAATATTTATGCAAAAATGAATCGACATTTGAAGCAAGAACAATTAATTTTGGAAATGTTTAAAATCCGAGAATATAATGGGGGAGACAAGGAATGAATGCAGAATTTTGGTGTGAAGGTAAATCTATCCCTGTAACAGGCAGTGGAGGTCAACAAGATTGTGAGACGTCGAGACTCCCACATTTTCTAGACAATCGGTTGACAGATGGCAGTGAGGTTGTCAGCCTTACACATCGGCCGCCCTTTACCCTCCAGGAAGATTCCTGTTACTCATTTCTGTTAGAGGCTGAGTCGAACCCAGGGCTATAGTGCGGCTGGAAATATTAGATCAATTGAAAAATCCAGTGACCTCATCTGGAATCGAACCCGGGACTTTCCGGTTTGTAGCATAGTCTCTCAACCAACTACGCTACGGTGTGCCCCATTTTGGTGGGGAAGCCTCTTAAAAATCGTCACTTGAAGACCAGGAAGATGATAAACATTGATATGGATCTTACAGAAATAAGATTTGACGATCTGAAGTTGGTAGAACTGGCTCTTGTTTTACTACGGTAACTTTAGGTGTAAATCTTAAGCCACGGACACTGAAAGCAATTAAATCTTCAGGGGTTAACAGTCATGTCAGTACTGAATATTTTGATGTCATCTTTTTTTGTTTTTCCATATCAGGGACTAATTTTAGAGGCACTTTACTTTCTGTTTGAGACAATCAAATACAGTGTTTATATGAAAAGATTAAACACAAAGCAACCCAAATGTCGGTCGAGACGCGTGCTATAGTGACAGGTTTTGAGGGGCTATTCTCAGTCTCCTCTGGCAAATGATGTGTAATGGGCCATATTATCTGTAAACCGCAAATTCAAACATTTATTCGTCTTGAGGGGCACAATAAACAGTGCTGTCTTTTGCAGATGCGTGACCTTGTGAATCGTCGATCCTTTTTGCTGAGGAAGAAGGTAGACAACTTACTGTTCTGGTTGTTACCCAACATTTGGGTCCCGCTGTATCTGTCTGTTACCTTCACTGATATCGGATACCGGGAGTGTATGGAGAACAAATTCTGGCAAGATAAAGTACGTCTGAACAAATACTGCATAAGGTTTGACGCGTTCCTTAATGTGCAAATAATCATGTACTCTATTATACGTAGTCTGACAATAAACTTCGCGAACTCATCTCGGTAAAAATGCTACATACCTCATTGCTGAATATCACTGTGGTCGCCTTCAAAGTACTCACCTCGGGAAGCTGTGCACCGATGCCAGCACCTAGTCCACCATTCTAAACAATTTTGTCACTGGTGTTGTGAAATGTCCTTCAGAGCTGCCGTCGTATCATTCCTGATGTCATCAATGCCATCAAACTGCCTCCATTCCAATATTTCCTTTACCTTCTGGAATTGAAAAAATGCCATTGGGGTCCAGATGAGTTGCTGGCAAAGAGTTCGGGTCATTTCTGCCTAACGTTTTAAGTACTTCCAATTAGTAAACTTGATATGCCAACGTCATCAAACCATACTGAGGTTTCTGTCCACTGCTGCCACGGCAGGCACATAGTGGCGAGTTCGCGAAATTTATTGTGAGACCTCGTATGAGTACCAGTTCTGAGGAACACCCTGTCTTCATCTTCAGAACGTTTCTGAAAGGAGCCACATCCCAGAATACCATACATTATATCTAGCATGTTTTGATCAAAATTATCCTGTACGGAATATTTGGCTGCTTCTATCCCAACAGAGTGCATTTACCTACATGTTACAACGCTTTCATCACGATTTTGGACATGCCGGTGATCTTGTTCATTAACTGCAAATATAAATACATTATTTCACACAGAAATCCATCTTTGAAATTAATCATTCTAGACAATCGCGTTTCATAATCCAAAATTACTTTTCCTTGCATTTCGTTAAATATTCACCAAGTTGATTTTTTTAATACAGTCATTCAATATCTACACTTTACGGTATGTGTTGTTTTTGTACAATTAATAGCACTTGAGAAAATTTATAAATTTTGATTTTAGCATAATAGTGTTGTACGATTACGAACCAAACTTCAGTTAGCTCTGCAGTGTCTGGTGTAGAACACAATCAAAAATTTCATTTAAAACCGTTCATTAGTTTCGAATATAAAACTTTTGGACTCGCATATAAATCTTCCTCTTTGTGGGTTTATTTTAAGCGCTTCGTGCAAGGAAGCTTGTAGAAAAATATAAATTCTGTAGTTTGAATATATTCATTATACTGTTACCATCATTATTTTGCTATCGGACTCAATTTTGATTCTCAGGTCATCCGTCAGGCAGTTTTGGCGCTGGGTGTACTCGCAACAGCGATGTGCGCTGTAGGATTCTTCCAATGGTGTAAGGCATCGTTTGACGTCGATGCTGAGGTTTCGAATCCTGTCCAGACTGCGTAAGAAAGGACATGCAATAGCGAACGCCTGAAAATCCTCATTTATAGTTGAAGTTACACATTTCCGAAGCACCGATAAAAATAATGTAGACTAAAAAGAATATGAATTAGCTCAGTCTAATATTATTACTAAGACCATCATTCGAATTTATTGTTACGAATGGGTCATAAATAACTAATAGACAAGTATAATGAAAGCATGTATAGATTCTGCTGAATCTGAAGTCTCACAGCTGTGAAGACGACTGTTCTCTGAGACTAACGTCTTGTAGTCTAATGGATTTCCAACCGACGTTTCAGGAGAACGTACAGACTCCCTCTTCACGGACGAAGAATAAAGAAATTAGCAAGAAGCAAGCTTGCCACTTGAAGATGGAGGCAGTATTTCCTCAAAAACATCGGTGGACTCCTACAGGAATATACAGCCTTATATACTAGAAGGCAGTGCCTTTTATATGCAGATTCATATGCCATACAAATGTTTTGGATAAAATAAAAATAAATATTTATACTTTAAACGATTTGACTCAATAGTAAGTTATATTAGGTAAATACTGGCAGGGAAGCCCGCTATAAATCAACGGGGAATCATTTATTTCGTTATCTTCGTTCTTAACCTTCTCCCTTCCTCCTTTCGTTTGTCCCTTTTATACCTCTGTCTCCTTCTTTTCTCCGTTAAAACGCTGAATTATATTAGATATTAAATGTGTAAACCGCAAATTAAATATTACTTTTTCATTGGTTAAGTATCTGAGCATAAGTGCAATCCTATTCCCAGAACTTCCTACTTATTAAGGTCAAATACTTTGGTGGAGTTTATTTTTCATATCCTGTTGAAATTTCAACCGGTAATGTGTCAACAGTGAACGGAGAAGTTCATGGAGGTAAGCCTAGGCCCACTGGGGCTGTAGTGCCAAGGAAAAAAAATGTGTCAACAAGTGTTATGAAAACTCACCATTGTCAAAAAGGTACACGTACAATGTAAAGCAAGACACGGACAAGAACGTAAGAAGCTTAACAGATTTTTTTTTAGAAAATTGTAGCTCTATTTTGGATTTTGATTTAAGTAGCCCATATACAAGAAATTTACAAAATATTAATCATTACTCAGCGTGAAATACAGTAATGGGATGACAATGTTTCGACACGTCTGCCTTGGATTGTGGCCTAAGCGAAACTGAGCTCATGACAAAAACAGTTTATGAGCGACAGTTTTCGGGCGACTTGTTTTTGCGTTGTTAAAATTTGTTTCACACTCGACCGCACTATTCGAAATTTTTAGGGGGGCATATAGGGGAATAGTCTAAACGTTTGTGGCCGTATTAACCGAAACTCGCATTGATCGAAAAAGCATATATCACGGTTTACCTCTATGTACAGTACATCCCGCGCGTGGAGGAGGGGTCGAATATTTCCACCGCAGCCCTGCGAGTAGTAGGAGGCGACGAAAATCGAATCCAGTGACTGGGGATATAACTGAGCGACCCTGTTTCTGGGGGATATAAATAAGATCTGACCCTCCAGGTTGGCGGAGTTTCGAATCTGAGCCAATAAAATATGTTCATGACTCCCGCGGGGCTGGGAACCAAGAAATCACTGCGCTGACGAGGGCCAGAAGAAATTGTAAACGACAGACCCGTCCTCTCGTCTAAGAGGGCGTCCCTCGTCAACAAACCTGCAACTGCCTGACAATAATAAAAATCTGGCCGACTGACAGTCGGTCGTGACATACTTTTGACCTTGACTTAATAGAGTATACGCACATACAGAAACAAAACATATATTACACACATATGCCAGCCTCTGAAAGCTGTTTCAGATGAGTAGTAACCTACTAAGGTCTTAGAGAACATAAAAGAAATTACTTTACAATACTGTGTAAATAAATTCAATGTGCTTTACTTTAAATTAATATATTTACTAACATTAGTACTTCTTACAAAAATTATGCATTTACAACAGCAACATTTACAGCTTATATACGTAAGCAGGAACTTAACTTACATTAAGGGTATTTACTGGTATCAGTCTTTAACCTCATAAAATGTGTAGTAATGACTAACGTCCATCACTGATGCACATGAAACTTCAACAACGTCCATTATCTGGGGTAATACATCGCGTCATAATTTCATCAAGGGCAGGACATGAATTTTGAGTTAAGAATACAGTCAGTGTTATATAATAAAATGATATATGCTTGGATTTCATTGGAAGAATAAAATGTACAATCATCACAAGCTGAGGCCTTGATTTATAGGCCATTTTATATTATCAATCAATCTAAACTTACTCGATTTTCATGCATAACTCTACTTTCACATATTATTTCTATTTCTGCCCATGCAAATTATGTTCGCCAGGTGCCTCTCAAAGTGTGTCACATACCAGAAGATGGACAGAAATTTTTCTAACTTATTTCACCCCTTTTCACAAATTTCTTAATATACTAGAAACAACATTGTACGCTTTATATTGTAGCTGAGAACACAAAAAAACTGACGTAATTTAATCTATCAGATTTTGGTGATATAAAAATTTGTTCAATACCGGTATCATGAAGTGTGGGTAAATTATACCTGATTAAGAAAACAGATCTTTCAGATACTGCTGGAATGTATTCAGGCAGAGTATTCTATAGTAATATAGCACCAATCATGATAACCTTGCTTCTGAGAACGAAAAATTCTATTCCAAAGTTCCATAAATATACAATGCACAAACCACTTTCATGATATTCACAACCCATATCCATAGCGTTCTCCTAGCACAGAGCTAATGGTTTTGTCAAACTAACCAGAAACACAAACACGTATAATTAAATGTAAATATGAATAGCTTCGACCACATACAGCAGCAACAGTCACCATTTCACTATGAATTGCTTTTGTCTTTAATAGTGTGTTAAGAATCATATTAAACGTCCCCCCTGTATGATTCTGTACATCCTCCTGATCCCGTATGAGTCATAAAATACACATATCAACAACTACTTTATCATAAGGGATCTGTTAATAGGGTGAAAGTGACATCCAATATTTAACCCAGGTTTAACTAAGGTATGTACAAGTTCATTTTGATTGCTGCTGAAATTGACCAAAAATAGCTTGCTTCAGATGAAAACGTTCTTCACAAACAGCGAGCGCAATTTTAAAGGGAAGCGCTTAATGTATAGTGGATACATTTCTGTACTCTTAAACAGACCAAACCAAGTCCACAATCAAATATCCAATCATCAATGGATAGTGCTAGGTGCAAACAAATTTGTAATAATAAAATAAATCAATTTGTTTTGAAATGAAAATTATATAGCTACATTAGGGAATTCTTGCTTACAATAATTACAATAGTAATATTTTATTAAATGTGTTTATATGGCTGCTACATTGTACACAGGCTGCAGACCACTTAATAATTAAAGACAATGTGCATAAGCAACTATGCTGAAAATTTGTTTGTATTAAAGAAGAAAATACGTATATCCCATCTCATTTAAAGTGAACAATAAATAATACAGGATCAAACTGCTGTTTGAAAGAAGAACAATTACTTCCATACTGAGTGAATGATCATCGGTCAGAAGTATGTTACCCATAAGTTTTTGTTACATAAGTGAAAAACAAATGTTATCATCACCAGTATTATTATTAAGAGAGTTCTGACATTTAAATTGTGAAATATTATGTTACGTTACTTTATACGTCCAATTACAGAAACTTCTGAACCTAAAAATATCACGTCAGTGCTAATGAAGTCTTAAGATGATTTATGACAATCAGGGTAGCTGTGCATTTCTGGACTTTGTCTAGTGTCTGGTATTCTGAAGAAAACGTTTCTGAAACTGTATCTGTTTCCATCCTCAAGTGAAAGGGCAGCAGGTACCTACACTCTTGGGCCCATTAGGAAGAGTTAATCCGCTCTCAGGTTCACTGAGGGAGATTACCTCTTTCTAACAGACCAACAGGATAGGTGCCCCCCACTCTTTCACTTGAGGAAGGAAACTGATCCAGTTTCACAAAAGTTGTGCTCTTTACAATATGTGACAATGAACAATGTCCAAAAACACAGTAATTCCACATATGAAACATGTGTTAGCCTTTCAATACATATATTGGAAGTTGCATAAATATTCGGTATGTAAATTTGCTGCTGCATTTATAACTTCCGTTATGAGAAAGAATTTTTGCACTTCATATAATAAATTGGGACAATAGCAAACGTTACCCCTCCAAACACTTACAAAAATATAACACAAAATGTTCTGATAATTATATACAATTTGAATTCGGTAAGCAACGGTGGTGTAACGGCATGGAAGAGTTTACTTCTCTCCTTATTTCACGCGATCATTTTATTTCCACGAAAAGACGCAATCCCGTGGCAGCAAAATAGTGCTTAGCCATGCAAGTTAGCAACATCTCCCTTCATAACACTAGAATGAGTTAACAACACTAAGAATCATAGGTTCGAGAATTCAGTTCTTTTATCTACTGTACCACATAAGGACCAGAATTGTTCAGGTCTTAGCTTGCTACGACGTGAACAAATTCGTAAGCACCATTCTTTCAGTTCATTCCAGCCAAATTTTAACCTCAACAAATAATGAAATATAAGGTACATATTGGTCCCAAGTTATATGCTGTAAATAGTACAGACGAGGAACAATCTCGTTAACGATATGAAGATAATCTTTCAAAATGTAATCTGCCTACAAATTCCACAGCACAGGACACTTAGTCGATCATGAGATGTGTTGTTTCAGGGTTTGTCAGATACATGTGTTTCTTTGTCTCAAACAGAGCCTTCAGTTCTTCTGTGAACTTTTGGTGTAGTTCACTTATCTGTTGTTCTGTTGGTTCAGGAACTTTCTCAACTGCTATTGGTGTTCCAACTGAAACAAGCAATTCTGCACATTTAAATCTGCTATTTGAGCCCCCTTACAATGAACATTGTCTGTATGTCATTATGCTTCCTCCTAAGCAACTTCATTTAAAATGGGTGGATGCAAATTGTAGTGGAACATATATTTATACACATAACTTGGAAACTGCTCTTAAACTACAAGTTAATCTTTCGTTAAAATCCTCAGAATTTCATAAATAAAACCACGGCTAATAGGTCAATGGTGATCAAATGTTGTAAACACACGCCTCAGTCCCCGCGAAAATCATCCATACATCATAAACTGCTGAAAGCAGCTGCTCCATGTATAAGTATACAGATGCTACGTTCAAATTTAGCAGACAGGTGCTGCAACATGCCCGCCGAAATGGCTGCAACCTCCTTGTGAATATTTCTTTTGAGGTATTCGGTGGTGTGGCACATGGTCCTGTAGAACTTTCCCTTTAGTGGGCCCCAAAGGAAATATTCTGGTGAGGTCAAACATGTCTTTCAGGCCAAAAGCCTTTTGCTGTAAATAATTTGCCAAGAGCGTTCACAGTGCTCCACATGCTTGTATTTGATATGTTAAGTTTTGCCCCATCGTGTCAGCAATTGATCCTCGTCAGTCATCTGGTTTAAAGATACGTGAGGTGAATCTATACAATATGGCCGAAGAAATGTACAAAATTTGTGATCCAGGAAAGGGCAAACTTCTCGCCCTTTCCCCGGAATGCAATGGGCCCTCGTGGATTACATGTGGGTTTTCCATCAACCAAAAACACGTTTCAAAGTTCATGCATTCATTGAGATAAAGATGTAATTCTTCTACAAATAACAGAAGGCCCAGAATAATTGGGTATTGTAACATTGACTGCGGAAGCCATGCATATAATTGCAAATATATTTCCAAATCCACCAGAATAAATACTTGAACCACAGACACAAAATGCCGCTGCAATTTCACTCTCAGCAACTTTGATACGTGGGGAGGACGGTGTGATAGACAAAAACTGGTCGATTGATGATGTGTAGAAACATAACATTGTGTCGAAAAGTTGGATATTCCAAATAAAGTTACTACCTGACGCAACAGCGAAGGGGCAGCGACACTGGACTTCTTGGGGTGTCAGCCCTTGCTCCCCCTGCCCCCGCAACACACACCAAACAATGAAGTATAGCAAGTGTATATCCTCTGAGGTCGAAAATATGCACATTTAAGAAAAGCATCTTTGCTTGTCGCACCCATGCTAGTCGATGTAATCAGGAAAATGTGTAGTAATATTCATATAATAGATTAATTTATTAAAACTATAAGAGGCCGAAATGCCATCGGTTCCAGTATGTATCTACAGTATTTCATCAACATTAGTCCATATATATACATATAGTGGTTTCCATACTGAAAGTCTGAGGACTCAAGAGAAAGAATGGCTCTGTAGGTCTATCAGTAAGTTCGAGTGAACGTTATATAAAAGCCACCGTACATAGCGACCGTCTATATAATAATTTAGTTGACAATAAAAGTAATTTAGACAAAAGTGTAAGAATTAATTTATTCCGGTTATACCGCAATGCTACATGGTACGATTGCGATAGATCTTCATTAGGGGGATTCAAAATAAATAAATAGAGAGGCATCGAAATCCAAATTGACGTTAAAATGAATTTCTATCAAATGTATCAGTTTTAACGTAAAGGTGTATGGAATAATTTGACATTAAACATTAAAAATCCTTTAAAATGAGGCCGTTATGTGTTGTTTCGTGCATATAATATTCGTATATTTTGGTACATATTGAGTGTGGTTTAATGGATGTGTACATGTGTTTCTTTGCGCTTGGAATACGAAATTCCTTGCTGTGCGGAGGGACCAATGTATTTGGGTGGCAGAGGGCGTCGTGAGTGGGTTACTATTTGATTGCATAAAGATGTCTATGCAAATAAATTAAGTATCATGTTACATGCTTATATGACTGGACTATGTTCATTTGATGTCTGTCTCGATCGCTTAATTAATATTTGGAACAAGTCATAAACGCTTCAGTTTGGTGGTAAATAAAATGCAAAACGAAAACGAATATAGTCATACAATATTAGCAGAATATGAGTGATACACTAATACGAGTATGTCATTGAATTTTCTTTACATATTCAGACTGTACCTGATAATCTGCGCTGTCACATCGAACCTCAGACCTGCCCTATTATGCCGCATATTCTTCAGTAACCTAGGTGTCTGAATTCTAGCGTATCCACATTTTAAATATCGGGGACAGCTCAGTCAGTATAGTGACTGGGCAATCGTGTTTCGATTTCCGGCAAAAACAAAATGTTTATATAGTGTCAATGGCGTCCAGACCGGCTCTTGAGGCCCACACAACCGCCTATCCAATGAATACTGGGGGATGCCGCCCCTGGCGTTAAACTTCAGGGGCGAGAAGCTGACCACTCACCTCTATCTAGTACAGAGACCAAGAATGGTGGAGATATACCTCCATTCCCCCATATGTCTTCATGGCATTGTGATTAATAACGTAATTAAATAGAGGGGTAATTTCATCTTTTTACCGTTACCTATAATTTTATGACGTAATCTTACAGAGTGTGACATCATGTCCACTGGGGGATCGATATCGACTTTTCGGAGGAATTTACTGTCTCCATCTTCAGGGAGTGAAGACGTCGATACCCACTCACAAGTCGACATAGTGGCAAAAGCCAATCACAATCACCCTGAAACTTCTAAGTTAGTGTTTCTTCATTGCGTGTAGCTCCATCCATCTATCTATGGCTCTACAGCCATTGTGGAACTTGACCGCTTTTTCAGTTTCTTAATCTATACGCAGTCGGTAGGGCTCCTTGGATGAAGGATCAGCCTGTCGCAAGGCCGCTACATGCACACAGAACAACACAATCACAGACCTTCATGCCTAGAGTGGGATTCGAACACACGAAATCAGTGTTCGAGCGGGCGAAGACACTTCATGCCACGGTGATAGGTTTGTGTGTAACTCCACTCTACCTTAAAAGTTGCAAATATGATGACACAGAATTCTGAGATTCTCTGTCTGATTTACACCAGAATAAATTGTATGTTAAAAATTATTAATTTAGAAACATGCTTGACTCTTACATCTGATGGAAGCATGAAAGAATAATATGGCCTATCATATCCTATGGCTTGTTTGTAAGTAAAGGAATGAGCGTTTTCATTTAGAGATCACATCACAGATTTCAGCTCTAGACAACAGACAGCAAATTCCTCCTTTAATATCAAATATCCACAGAACCAGTATTTCCAAACACAGAGAGAGTCGGTCGTGTGTAAATTTACAAGATTTTGCCGATGTCATATAACCGGTACCCGTTATGGATGGTGACTAATTTACAAAATGGAAAACTTCACAGATTTCACTGCCCCACCAAATCATACACGTAAAGGATTGAAGTGGATGCTTTATACTGGTCGTGGAGGCCTTTGCGATGAGATTCTGCCTCATAAATATCAAGATTTGAAAAGGAAATGTCTCTATCGCTGTTAGCCCATAGGTACACGTGAGTAATACATTACCGACTGTGGTGACTGGGCAACGACGAGGCACAATTCCGAATGAGTACTGGAAGAGACCTCTACCGAGGGGAACAACAGGAGCAATCCCAGTTATCCTTCGGCAAAACTCCTGCGCCCATCGCAACCAGGAACCTTCTGGGTTGTGCACCTGGTCATAGAGGTCTGTCTCTCCGAAGGAGAAAACAGGCACCAGTGGAGTCCTATATGACAAGAACAACAATCTATATTCTAAACTCACGTTCATGAGCCACCCGAAAGTAAAATCTGCCTGTTTCTTTTCCTTGGCACTACACCCCCAGTGGGCCCAGGCCTACCTCCATCAACTTCTCCGTTCACTTCGGTTTTTCTAGATCTTACACATTCGGTAGGACTCCTTGGGCGGGTGATCAGCTCGTCGCAAGGCCTCTACCTGTACACAAACACAGAAAAACGCACACACACAAACTAAACATCCATGCCCTGAGTGGGATTCGAACCCACGATCCCGGTTTCCAAGCGAGCGAAGACAGTATATGCCTTAGACCGCTCGGCTACCCTGACCGGCCCAAAATCTGTCTCTACTGTCCCTATATTCCGATAAGAATCCTCGGGATTCTGGATGATTCTCTTCTGCAATAAGGGGATAAGTGAATGGATGAGTTAGTGATTGGCTGAGTGTATGGATGAGTTAGTCGTTGACTGAATGGATGAGTGAGTTAGTGTTTGGATTGGCGAATGACTGAATGAGTTAGTGGTTATATTGGTAGATAACTGGATGAGTTTGTAGTTAGATGAGTGGTTTCGAGGGTGGGTTTGTGGCTGGATGGGTGTGTGACTGGCTAAGTTAGCGGTTGAATTAATGGATGAGTTACTAGTAGGACAGGTGGTTGAGTGGATTGATGGCTAAACACAGTTGCACTTGAGAAAAGGTCGTTGCATGATTTTCTATAATTAGCACAATGAAGCCCACTATACGTTACCAACCCACAATCATCCAAAGAGGGAACTTACATTTTCAGGCACCTGTACAAACAAGCTTCAGTGTCAAATTATTTGACGTAAATGGATTTATTCGCTTCTCTTGATGAAAATGATAACCATCTGGACTTTTTCTCACCCGTGCATTAGAGCCAACTTCACGAAACCTTTTCTTCGCTTCAGAATGATTCTATAGGTGCCAGGACGACACTCGAGAGACTCAGAGGCTCCGCCCACAACAAGCGCTACTGCATTTCCTGGTCGACTCAACACATAGCTCATACCTTCCACAGACGAGGGACAGCCACCTGATAAACAGCAATTTTCAAATTCAATGATCTGATTAATCCATTCTCTGACACGTCAGTATGCTTATTACAAGAATGGCAAGAGGCACGGCAATGACGTAACCCCCCCCCCAAGGGCACACTGCATACCTCACTTGCTACAGTGTTTATTTAATGCGGGTACACACCAATTATTGCAAAACTGATCACATTACGAATACATGTATTAATTTCATGGATTCATAAATAATCTGTCCTTGTATTTTGGGAAAAAGTAGCCATATTGAAAATTTTTAAATTAAAATTATGGATTTAGACAAGATCTGCACTTTATATTTTATATTAATTTCTGATGATTGACCAGAGTCGTCTAGCAGTAATACTCTAAGTCTTCCATTCGGGAGGTGTTCAGTTCAAATCTCGGCTGGGTCACCGGTTATCTGGTCATTCGCGGTTTCCCTCACTCCCACTAGATATAGGTGGAATTGTACATCGATTAGAGCACATCCTTTTAAATCCTTTCAAATCCTGTCATTAGGCACTATATGCTTAAAGCATTATTAAGTTTACACGCTCCAATATGATAAGTCATTTGAGAAACTTAATGTGTACAATTTGGATTCCACTCAAAACCAAATTTCATTGAAACCAAAATGAGCACCAGTCTCATTACCTATGATTTGGTATGTACTAATATAAATACACCTTCCTCTGTGGTAGTGGCACCTGAAAAATATAATCCAAATACAAATACAGATTAATGTTGAAATGAAATTCATGAGATGGAATTCAAACTGTTACTGGAAAGACTACAGGAGTAATCACGAACTGATGTATCATCTGAAGACCAAATCATCATCAGTAGGATGAATATACAAAGAAAATAATTTGTAATGCTGGTAGAATGGAGATGGTTCCTAAAAATTAACTAAGAACAGGCCAGCAGAAACGAAACGTCAATAACGAACTTGAAGAGACTAAATAGGCAAATGAGACAGGATTGCTTCAACCACCAGTCCATATCCTTAATATTGTCATGACGAAGAGGAGGTAAAGGAGGGTTAGGACGTTGATGCAGTAATTCTGGTCACATTTCCTTCTATTTGAACTTTTTATCACTGTTTAAATACACTTCGTAACAGTGCTCTATTTTTCACTTTAAAAAACAAGAAGCCTTCTTTACAATTTTAGATTCAACTTATTGTTCCACACTTTCTTCTGGCGACAGAGGTTCATTGACTGCATATAATAACTAGCAACACATGTATGTCTTACAATTTAAGACTTCAGCCAACTACAACTGGCTTGGTTGACCCAACGGTAGCAGGTATGACCCGCGTGCCGAAGCTATCCGTTTTGAACGTCCGCATGGAACAAGCTACCTTGAGACATTTTTCTTGATTTTCCTCAGTCTGCCTGAGAAATAACTGGGATATCGTCTTAAAGTAGGACATTAACTCTTCAGCATGAATCATCCGGACGGATACGTTACCTAGCCATAGTAGTTATGACACACAACAGGATGCACACTATAAAAAAATACTTTCATAATGGTAAACTTTTTGTGACACTTTTCAGGTTGGAGTATTTGCCGAAAGTCACACAATGATCACTTAATAATTTCAGAAAATCTAACAAGTTCATTTGGAATACCTGAGGAGCGCAGATTTTGCGTCCGAATACTTTGGAAGTCGAAACCAGAATATTTTTGAAACTGATCTGCTCTGAAGAAGCAAGCTTCTCAAAGCCTCAGCTTACACCTTTACATCTGCCTCCTCAAAGAGGCCTTATTGGACTAGTTCAAAAATTAGGTGATCTAAAATATTGGCATTTCCCAATTAGAGTTTTTAATCGATTTTATCTCTTAAGACACAAAAGCACTTTGGAGGGCTCATTCATGTAGAGGGAGGATTTTTATTTTGTTGTCCGGTTCCACGGCTCTACGCTTAATGGCGACCGGTGCGCCGCTTGCTGCGAGGCGCCTACGAATTTTGCTGATGGATCAGCATGCCAGAGGACAGATAACGCTCGGAATGGAGTAGTTGAGATATGTTCTGTAATCACGGAGTGTGTCAATCTTTGTTAACCACCGCCAATGTTAATTAAGACAGGCACAGAGAGAAAATGGAAAGAAAGGACTAAAAACAAGAGGATGAAAATAAATGAAGAAGGAAGAAAGGAAATGGAAATATACTGTCACGTGCTCGGGGTTCCGTGACTAATAATAACTGGTTCTGGATTGGATGATTGGATTTAGTGGCACATATACTACAATTACAACAAATTATAACAGCTCACAATAAATGAGTGTCTAAGCCTCGTTCTATTCCTTGCTGGACTAAGAGTGTCTCCTCTTCTACTGTGGCTTGGTTGGTTCCGATTTACGAATTGGGCACTTCAACTTCCGTTGCCCGCTGATTAACACTCCACAGCTGAACACTGGACTCCTGAAATGTCTTCTAAATTATCTGACGACTGACTCCATGAATTCACGAATGAACTCTCTTTTATAACTCGGAGGGAACTGAAGAGAGATCACTACCTCGAACTGTTCGTGTATTACTCTGTTATTCTGTGTTTATCCGTTTCTATGAAACGTGCCGAACGATTTGCTACCCAGCAACGGAGTTCCTTCAACTGTTGACTGCATAACCTCGGAAATATATTTACCGAACCGTTGTCTAGCAATGGTTATATTCGTCACAATATGATAAAAGGGTTTAGAAAGAAGAAAGCCATAGAGAAAGAAGGGAAGAAAATATAATGAAAAGGACGAACAAGCATTAAAATCTGGACTACGATGGATAGTTTAATGCCTCAGAATATCCGTTACTTGTTCATTCTTACAGCAGGTGCCATCCCTGAAAGAAGCATAATGCTCTCTAGAATAAACAATCAGACAATACAAAGCAGAGGCAATGCACCTTGTTGCCTGCAGCCTTCGTGCTTACCCAGCGCCAGTGACAGTTCTCGGATAAATGGGATGATGAAATGTCCAGAGAGAGTGACGAGGTAGGGACGGAGACCGGGAAACAGTTTGCTGAATTTGTTTGCTTCCGTAGCGAAACTTGTAAATGCCCCAGTGCTAAGGACGCCGTGCGGGAAGACGCATAACATGTACGTATTGGTGGGGTCCAAGTCGACCGTCTTTTCAAGGCGCAGCGGGAAATAGTCCCGAAAGTACTCCCACCAGATCCACCGTCGAGCCCAGTCAGACCTGCAGAAGAATAAAACGTGCGCTGTAAGAAGCAAAGCACTGGACCGTCTGACAGTCCTGGATCACGAGCACGCAAAAAAAGGTAAAGTTGTCCTTGTGCTTAATTAAGCACCAAGCCATGAAAAACTGTGAAGTGGAGGTATAGTAGTTCTACATATTCTTAACGTAGGTAGTAGATGGAGATGAGTGTTCAGCTTCACGATCAGGCTTCTTTACACCATGGAAAGACCGTTGTTTATGAAGCTGGGTGTATCCCACGGCTGGGCTGGAAGCTGTGGAGAAGAACTCTTGCTCCTGCCGAGAATCGAACCCCAATTCCACAGTTGCCCATCCCATAGCCTAGTCGCTATATCGACACAGCTACCCCGGCTTCCTAGAAAATGAATAAATACCATAGGAGCAGAATTTGAGGTCCTCACAACGGTGGTTATAAAGAGTACTATCCTCTGGGATATAACGCCGTGTAGACCGCTGGAAGTCAACCGACGTTTCGGAGGAATGTATCACCTCCATCTTCAGGGCCGAGGAATAAACCGAACAAGATGCAAGAGTGACAGCAGCGGGCAAGCAGACTATAGGACATTAAATCCCAGACGATAGTAATCTTCAAGTAACTCATATAATTCTGGTAAGTACACCATCACAATGAGCCAATTTGAGCCCTGGCGGCTTTTTTAGTTTCTTAATCTTATGCACAGTCTGTAGGAATCCTTGGGTGGGTGCTCCACATATACAGGACAACACAAAAAAAAATAAACAGAGGTACATCATGCCTTGATTGGAATTCGAACCCATGATCCCAGTGTTCCAGCAGACAAAGACATTTCATGCCTTAAACCGTGTGGCCGATCACCCATAGGTAAGTACACAGATACCTATAGAGAGGAGTACAAAGGCAGTGTTAGCAATCTGAAATATACTTAATATCTTGTTGTATTGGCTCCTTGGGTAACTGTCAATGTACTTATTTTATTCGTATAAAAGAAGATAGTGTATTGTATCATTGTATCTTTATGTTTCCTCTGAGTCTTAGTGCTGGACCGGGATGCGACCCCCGGAATACCAACATACACATCGTTCTGGAACTGGGCTCTACTTCAGTCAACTGTCATTATACAGATTATAGGCCCCGTGTTTGGTGCGGTGCCGTATTCCTTAAATACTGTGAGAACTTTACTTTTAATTTTGTTAACACACATGCCTTTTTTTAGTTATGTTTCCGAATAATGCGACATGAAGGTATAACTCCACGCATTCTACATCTCAGTGAAAGAAAAAAAGTAAAGCTATCCCTGCAACAGGACGTGGAGGACCATAGGATTATGAGATGTCGAGGCTCCCACATTTTCTAGACAATCGGCTCACAGATGGTGGTGAGGATGTCAGCATTACGCGCCGGCCGCCCTTTATCCCAAGAAGATTTCTGGTACTTATTTCCAGCAGAGGCTGGGACCCAGAGATGTTATGTACCTCGCGAAGTACTGAACAGACAGAATCCCTGCCCCTGTAGGGTCGAGAATCCCGCCATCCAGCCCACAGCCCACAGCCCACTCACCGTCTGCCGCCTTTATTGCTGATGTCTCGATCATACCAGATCCACATGATGTACAGAATGGCCATGAAGCTGTAGCGAGTCAACAGAACAACGTACGCCATGAACAAGATGCACAGTGTGGGGCCAAATCCCAGGGTCACGAACCAGGCACATGCTGCGAGCGTCTGCAGCCTCCGGTCCAGTGGTGTGTTGAACGGCGCAAACTTAATTCCAAACAGATCCATACGGCAGTGAGCCTGACACACGCAAACACCAAGCATCACCACCTCCGCCATTTTGCACTGTTTCCTTAACTACTGACAGCAAACTTACCTCCAAGCTCTGAATACGATACGACGGCTCCATTATGGAAACATTATAAAAACTATTAAAATTAGCCCTAGAGCACCTCGGCCTGCTTAGATTCGTGGCGAGTTCGGAGTGCCACATCACGAAAAAAGATATATCACGGAACTGTGTATGCTCTACTTAAATACGTCATCTCGGTTACAGAAGTTATGTATTGGTCAACGCCAGGCGGGGACAAATTCAAATGGAGAATGAGGTGGAACTAATATATTCTTTGGGGGGGGGAGATATTTACGGTCATTATTCTCACTAGGATGCAAGATGGAGGGCCGGGTACCCGCCACGTAGATTTTTCTTCGCCACCGCTTCCAAACAGACTCTGGAGCACAGCCAGCTCTCTATTCAATAGGTTCCTGGCCATTCCTCTGGGATATAGCGGCCGGAGGTTGACGCTGCTCAATCGCTCCCATCTAGCATTACGGTTAAGAAAGCAACATCCATGCTACTTTATAACGTAGCGCTTAACTGAAAACTGGGCAGCTTTACTTTTATCTACATCTGTTCACATGCCCTTCCCAACTCCTCGTNCCCAGTGTCACTATATCCACCATAAATCCCACATGACCTGAACCGGGCTCGAACCCAGGCCGCCGCGGTGGGAAGCCAGAGACTAACCGCTTGAGCTATGGCTCGGCCTCGAACAACATTAATGGCCTCTTTACATTAAGATCTAAAATCAATTCCGCACGCATCTCAAACGTATTCACCGAAGAAAAAATTGTTTTGAATAGAAGGTGCAGTGATAGAATGCAACAAGCATATTATGAAATATGTATTTTTCCATTAGTTCTTATACATGTCGATAACTGTACAGAAGTGAGAGAATGCTCCAGTAGTGTTGGAACATATTCGAAGATTATCAGAAGCATCTTACTTATTCATATTCCCCATGCTTCCTACCCGGATCTCTTTCTAAAAGCAGATATTTAAAATAAATTTACTGGTGCTTTTACTTGATATCATAAGTTTTACGCCATATATAAGGAAACAAAAGTTTGAATCCAAAAACCGAGATTCTAGAGACAATAAAAAAGCGGCAGCGGAAGAATTTTTCGCTATGCGTACATATCTTAACTTGCTTAGACCCTATGCTTATTATTCCAAATGAAGTTCATCTTATGACTAAGTGCCCACTCCCTCTAACTTCCGTGTTGTCCCTCCTTATCGTTTATGTTCAACTTCGCAGATATGTCGACATTCACACTTAAACATTTTCGCCTTTCTCTCTATACTCGTACATCACTGCCCCTTTCTTCCTAACTGGCCATCATCATATGTATAAGATGTTAGATGAAGGAACAGGACGCTGCAGTATAATATTACGCTCACTTCCTAAAGTAACACATTCTGAATTTAAGTTTGTGTTGTGTTGCCCTCAGAAATCAGCTACCCTTCGAATCTGGAGGACATCTCCACCCGCAATCTGAGGACGCCCTATGCCGTTGTGACAAGGGACCCACTTAACACGGTACTGAAGACAATGCTCAGTAAAGTAAAAAAAAAAAAAGTAAAGCTATCCCTGTAACAGGCCGTGAAGGCCCATAGGGTTGCGAGACGTTGAGGGTCCCACATTATTTAGACAATCGGCTCAAAGATGGCGGTAAGGTTGTCAGCCTTACGCGCCGGCCGCGCTTTACTCCCCAGGAAAATTATCAAATGAATTCATGTTACTCATTTCTGTCAGAGGCTGAGTCGACACCAGGACCATAGTGCGGCTGGAAGGGTTAGGTCCATTGAAAAAATCCAATGACCTAATCGGGACTTCAACCCGCGACCTTCCGGCTTGTAGCAAAGTGCCTCAACCAACTACGCTACCGCCTGCTCCGAAAACAGTGCTCAACAAAATCAAATTGACTGAAACCATAAAATTAAACAAATGCCCCGATATCGAGTTATGGGACTTGAAGCACTCGCCTAGATGTGCCGTACCCTGGAACTAAACCTAGTTACACAACTTACTGACGTAGTAACCCTTTAAAGCCCAGTGGTTATTGTCTGTACCACTTGCTTTAACACACAAACATTCTGCTTTCTGCCCATAGAGAATCTGTACGTTCCGTTCTCACAATAAACAGCGACTCTTTCCCCAAACAGCATTAACTGACTGGTCTTTGTAGCGGAGATGAAATGTGTTTTCTGTGAGGTACGGACTAAGTTTATATCTTATTTTTTAGAAGAAATTCAGTTTTGGAGGGTTAGGGGGTGATATTAAGAGGTGCCTTGGGGTGCAGGTTGAACCTTAGCCTACATCATGAAGTGAATAATAATAAGAAGAAAATTTATATTGTCACTGAGTCAGGGCGACCATAGAATCTTCATTCAATTTCATGCTTTGTCCTTTCAAAGCACAGTGGTCACTATATAAACCATATGCTTTAATTACTGAAGTATGTAATTCGTCTAAAAATTTAAAATGTAGTTGCTGCCTCACAGAAAGTAGGTACTGCTCGTTATATGCGAGTTCGAAAATGACATTTGATTTTAATGAGATCAACTAATTTAATCCCGTTTCAATTAATAGGGCTCGCTTCTATCCCAGCTGCCGGAAAGTGGCTGAGGGACGGGAGAGTAGATAACTGTGTGGGATTGTGGGAGAGGTATTAGAGAGGGGAGGGAAAATTAAATTCGATTTTTGCGATTTCGCCCTCTATTTCTTTTTGGAACACAACCACACCACTAGTGGAAAAACAACTACAGTATTCTCGCGCGTTAGTGACTAGAGACTGAGTTTATAATGGTAACTGGATTTATTGAGCTCTTACAACTGATAATTACAGGTAATTATAACACACTCGAATTCTCATCACAGCACAAGCTATGTCTTCTTTGTCTCCACAATCCGTTGCTCAGTAATGAATCAAAATTATGTCCACCTCTTTTGCCCACGCCGTTACCAGCTGGCGACTGTCTCACAATTAACTCAACAGTCGGCTCTCATTTCATGACTCAAATTGAGTCTCCGCTGAAACAGACTAACTCAAAATCAAATTACTTTACGACTGGCGGTTTATGGTAAATCAGTTCGTCTTAGCGCCAAGCCCCTTCAGACTCAAGATCAGAGAGTTTTTTTTTCAATCCAGCTGAACCCTTGCGGTAATAATCCTTATGTAACATCTTTCTGACGAGAGAGCGGATTTGTCTCTCATGAATGTGCTTGACCTTTTGTCAAGTGTAGGTATCGCACATAAAATATGGCATTGAAAATTCTTCCTTTTGCACTATACGCAAGTCCTCTGTCAGTACAGGCTTTGCAGAGCAGGTCGTGCCTGTCTTACGTATCTTATGCTATAACGGCAGCTTAGTCACTTGAAGAGTCGTAAGCTTGACCACCGCCAAGTTTAAGCCTCTTGTGTTTTCTTTGTACGGCTTCGCCTTATCCTATACTACGAACATATTCAACCTCAGGATTTGTATGACTTCTGCTAATTGCCTGCAAAATGTTGTTATATAATCATATGCATACGCAAGGTTGAATAACTAATGACTAACTCTCGTCCTCAAGAAGTAATTATAATTCGACACGGATCGCATAGAACACATTGCTTCTATCAGTTTCTCTGTTGTTGCGTGTGTATCTCTTGCTGCGATCACGTGACTTGGTTTCCGTGAAAATGTTTTTACAGAGCCGTTGCCTAGCAATGGTCGTCTCTTCTGGCACCATAATTCTGGCTTTGAGCGGACATGTCATAATATTCTTGAGAAGACTACGCCATTAATTTTGAAGCAGAATATAAAACCCTGTCCGCATTTCGCACTCGGCAACAGATATAAACTGACAGGGATGTACCCTGTGTAGCGTGTAAATCTACTTGTTTCCCAGTTAAGTTGGGAAGGCTTACAACTGCAGAAAACTCCAATTCTTTTCAGGGAGCTACAAATCTGTGGCATGCGACACAGAGCAACACTATGTGACCCGTGGCATGCTACAAATAACAGTTGGAATAATATGTGACAATGAAGATACTAGCTTCCCAGGCTTTTGTCAATACCTGCAGATCAGGCGGCAACATTTGCGCAGTCCTGGTTATCTTGGAAGAGTTCGCGATTTCCTTACATTCCTTGCTGACATTGAATGGTTCTGCATAAACTGTGAGTTCATCGGTTCCACGCTAGCGGGAAATAATTTCTTCTTGCGTGGCGATCAAGTCTATCATAAATTAGGTTTATACCCAGTTTATCACATGTTTTACTTCACTTACCTTCCTAACAAAGTCTCAAACTGGGTTTCAAAAATGAATAAAAATGAAGTTTCTTCGAGAAAGTAGAAGTGAGCTACGGACAGAATTTGTATAGCATTTGTTTCTACTGCACAGCCTTCCAGTCCTCGGGTCTCAAACTGTTAATATTACATTTCGCAATGGAAGTTTATAGCGCAACAGTAAAATGCTATTTAGCTCACGATATAGTGTCCTAGATTCGCTTTGCATACAAGGCTGTAGGATCGAATCCTACTTTGTTGTTTGCAGCTTTTAACAATTTTCGGTATAAAAACGGTAAAAGCTATCCCTGTAACAGGCCATGAAGGCCCATAAGGTTGTGAGACGTCGAGGTTCCCATATTTTCTAGACAATCGGCCCACAGATGGTGGTAATGTCAGCTTTACGCACCGGCAGCCCTTTTCCCCCAGGAAGATTCTTGGTACTCATTTCTAGAGGCTGAGTCGACCCCAGAGATATAGTGCGGCTAGCAGGATTAGGTCAATTGAAAAATCCAATGACCAGGAAAATTTAATGTACTAGACGTCTGAAAAAGTACAACTTTTATGGAAGTCTCTGTTTTGCAGAATGTAATATAAAAACATAGCGGTCATGGAAAAATTGTATTTCTCGGTTTGATGGCGATAGGTATGAACCACTGGTGTTATACATATTAAATCTTGCATGCAGAT